CTCCTCTTGCCAGATGTTGCGCACAGTACGACGAGATGAATATTGAAACATTAGACATTTTCCACGACTCGTTGTTTAAATTTAAACGAAAACTGGCCGACCTTTTGTGAACAGGCATTTGTTCTCAGTTAAGTTTTAAGTTTTGCTTTGGTGAATTTTATTATTTTATTGTTTTAAAATTTTCAGATATATATTGCGTTGTTATTTAATATCTCCTGACAATGTTGTGTATGCCTATAATAGGTATTTGTATAAGGAATTGTGCTTTAAAAATGTGACTTTTATAATATGTATACATGTACTGTTGGTGTACCTTTTAAATAAATAAATAAATAGGTAGAGATTTACCACCTAGTAAATATCTTATGATATTAAAGTGAGAAACGGGAGCTTGGAGCTGACCGCCTGATGTCTAGTTTAAACAAAAGGAGTTTTCTTTTATCTATTAACATTAAAGAAAATTTACTGTTTTAGGTTATTAGCACTAACCTAGACAGTATTTAAAAAGGTTTGAAAGTAGTTTTGAGTCTGAGGATAGCGAATGCTTTCTTCTGGACGTGAGTAACTCGTAATTGTTACTCACGTCTCATGTAGCCAGATATCTTACGTGTCTTCCGTGCTGAGAGTAATGGTTGTATGTACTTTAGTTACTTTAGGAGACCATTTTTACTGAAAAAGAGGCATTCCATCTTAGTCCTCATGGGTGACAACGCATCTGCATTTTGATTCTATATTGAAGATAGATGTAGATGTCTACAGTTCACAGCAACCACTTTCCATCATGTGGACTGTGTGCTAGTTTGTCACCATTATAATATAAAAAACTAGTCTACGTAAAGGTTACATCAAATACCTACTAGTCCTAGTAGGTATTTGACGTAACTCTGCGTTGCCGCAGCGCCTGAGAGGTCTCCAAGTAGGATTTTCCCTAAGTTACAAAAACTTCTTTAAAATTCGGTTTAACTTTCCCGTTGACCCCGCGGTGTCAGGGTATTTATGTAGGATTTCCCCACATCAAAAAAACCTGACAAGCTTTTCGTCGTCTCGTGAAAAAATGCGTGAAGGTAAAATTTTATATTTATTGATTATCGTATTCTACAGAATTACTTCTTTTGTAGTTGTAGAGATACTACACGTATGTATATATATATGAAAGACAAAGAGAACTGAGATGAGAGATGATTCATGTAATTATACTATTGGTTCTCGTAAACATCAATTCGTAACCCAGCAAACCTCCAAGCTGCAGTGCATCCTGCTGCTTGGAGGCAGAAATAGGTACGAGAATTGTAAAATTAGCCTGATTTTAGAAGCTATTATATGGAAAATATTTTAGTATATACTTAGTTTTTTAAAGTCAGCTATCACTTTTTATTAACGATTTTTTAACCGACTTTAAAAAGGAGAAGGTACTCAATTCGACTGTGTTTTTTATGTGTGACGTTTTATGACGATATTTTTATGTGTTACGTGAACCGATTTTAACAATCCTTTTTTTTATTTCACAGCTGATGTTTCTCATGTGATTTGATATAAATTTAATCAAAGTCTGACTAGTAGTTTTTGAGTTATCGTTAATAATTGGAAGTAAATACTTTAGAAATGAGTTGGGGGATGAGTCTCTAACTCTAGGCCTAGTCAGTTTAAATGTAGAGGCTGTCATGGGGGTTATGGTTGAATAGTGCAAAAGTTCTTATTACACTTCTAGGGGGTCAAAATGGCCAAAAACAAAAAAATTAAAAACTCTTATTTCGGCTATAACTCCGCCTCCTTCGGAGGTTCTTACACAGTCTTTACTTTCCGCATCTCACTTGTTTATATTGAGGTCGTTTGTACAAAATTTTCAATTTTATCACTTGTTTTGTCTCTTTTAAATTGATTATTACAAACTCAAGGTAACAACTAGAATGGCGATCAAAAACTTCATTCCCTATTTTTACCCTAAGAGGCGGAATTTTAGTTCCAAAAGTATCACCTATTAAAAAATTATTAAAATCGGCTAACGATTGTCAAAGATATCGAGTCAGACCCATACAAAAAATTAATTCGAATTGAGAACTGCCACCAGAGAATTATTACTTTTTATAGGTTTAGGAATGAAATCAGTTACACAACCTACCTGAGTCATAGTAAGCCATGTAGAGGTTCCTAGGCGATGCGACAGGGCTTTCTTTAAACTGCCTGTATCACGTAAAAAAACGTAACTTTTTAAGGCCGCGGAGGCTTTTGTGTCGTGGGGCTCATAGACAGTTGCCTACTTTGCCTTCAGAGTAATTAGGTCCAGTCTACTGACAACGCGTACCTATACATAACAAAATAACTATCAACAAACGTCAAGACTACACAGAACAAAGGTTTTTCACGTGTTACGTGAGAGGCATTTGTTTAATTTATGACAAAAGTAAAATCACTGTTTACTCGAGTACTACGAAAATCCGTTGAACGTACCGACGTCAAGGAGTTGAGTGTAGACTACAAATCAAGTTATTTATAAATCACACTTCTAATGGCACTAGATCGGAGAGCCGTACGAAATTGTTTTCACATTTCATCCACATACTAACTAGTGGAGTTTCATCTACACCAAGAACTAGGTATTGTTTACTATTTCAATGGAAATATAATTGCAATTACGTAAATTACAATGCGTAATATTGACGTATTTCTACGTTTGTACAGCTGATAATGAGTTGTCAGGCTAATATAAACTAATTATTATTAATTAGACTTAACTTATTTAATGCGACGCAATGTATTTTGAAAATATAATAGTAAAATTAAACTTTTAATACATACTTTAAAATAAAAAATTTTGTACAGCCGACTTCAATATAAGTTAATAAGAATAACTCAATAACTATTGGTCTGACCTTGATCAACCACACCACCACACGAGCAGTATCAGCTTTCAAATAAAAAAAGAATAATCGAAATCGGTTCACCCAGAAAAAAATTATGAAGTAACACACAAAAAAAAACATACAGTCGAATTGAGTACCGTCTTCTTTTTGGAAGTCGGCAGAAAATAAAGCCGACTTCAAGAACTAAAAAGAATAAAATATTTTTTACATTCTGAACAATAATAATAATAATAATAAGACCGTGACGGACCGCTCCGGACTCAGATTCGGAAGGCGGTGCTCTTCGATACCGCCCGCATCGTCCGTCGGTTTCTTTCTCTTTCTTCCTAACCATCAGCCGTTTGGTCTCCCCTGCCGAGGGCTTCCATCTGGTTGGGTTTTTATTTATTTATGTACTTTTATGTATTTATTTTATTTATATTAATGTATATTTAACATTTTCATTTACATTTATATATTTATACAGCTCAACCAGATGAGAAAACTATAATAATCTGTATTTGCATAAAACATGGTAAATATACGAATGTTTTAATTGTACTATGGACTCATGTTTTGCTATTTTAATATAACATAGCATGTAAATTTATATGTAAATCGTGGGTACCCACATTAAACAATAAAACGCTTTAAAATTACCTATTACAATGTCAGAAATTCATTAATGTCAAAAAAATTGTCAATTAACCAATGGTATAGTGCATTTTTGTCTATTTTTGAAGTTGGTGACATGTGTTTATAATAAAAAGTCGCAATTTTAAAATGTGAAATTATTTTATTCTTTCTAGTTCTTTAAAGTCCAATAATAAAAGGCTTCCACTTTTTATTAGAAGTTTAATTTTTCACTCCTTTGAGGGAAGTTAGGAATATCACAAACTCAAGGTATTAATTAGAATACTTACTATCTAAATAGTTATATTCAAAAATTCATCCCCTATCGCCACCGTGGGAAGCAGCCCTAAGCTATACAACCTATTTATCATTAAAATCGGTTTACAATGAACGAAGATATCGCGACATGCAATACATACAAAAAATATACTGCAGGGTTGAGCACCTCCTCTTTTCTTAAGTCTGCTCAAAATAGAAAGTTAAAGCCGCTCTACTGGGTGCAAGTGTTTTCATTTCTAAAAAGGTTAGAGCAAGGAACTGTGTCCAATGTGCTGAAAATATACATGAAAATAAGCTCGTAAAGATTTTGTTTAAGAAACTAAAATAGAACCAAATGAAAGCTCAATATATATTTACGTTATGGGAAACAGATTTAGATCAAAATGGAAATTTGTTTAGCGCATAATTTAAAGCTATAGAATGTTTCGAGAGTTTATCATCAGTGGTGTTATTCAGTAATATATATTAGGTAAGATCTCAGTGTTTTGGAGAATTTAGAAACTCATGGTGGAAAATATTTTACAAAACGTTTCACTAGTGACGGCTAGAGGCCTTGCTTGTGGTACGAGTAGCATAACGATTCTGCATTTACCAGCCTATCTGAAATAGTTTACAGCTTGCATGAAAATCTAGTAGTGTGATGTACCTGAGTATATGAAACATGTGTTGCAATCCAAATTCCCAGTATTCCCAGCATGTAATTACTTGTATTTCATTATCTTCTATCTATACTATAATAAAACTCTAGCACGACGTCTGTCTAAACATGTCTCACGCAAAAACCTGTGAAACGATTTGAATCGGACTTTTACAGGCAGATAGCTGATATTATGCTGATACCTTTATTTTAGGAAAATAATTAGGGTACCGCGCAAATAAAATCCACTCGGGCCAAGTCGCGGGGAACAGCTAGTTCGACATAAAGTAGGAAAAAATTGTAATATTATGTTGATTGCTTGGCAGACGGGTTCTTTTTAATGTGACAGATATTACAAATGTCCACTTTGTTATTGATGAGATTGAATGAAGCATTTATTATTTTATGATCCCAATACAAAGTAGTAATTATATTACTTTATTACATAAAATCACTTTACGTGTAATAAATAATTGTGTCAGTAGTAATATCGATAAAATATTACCATACACTACAAAACTATACAAGTAAATGTCTGACAAATAAACGTACCAAAATAAAAAAATGCTATTTTATACGGTTATAAATTGTAATAAATGTGAATAACATACCGTTTTGGAAATAACATTATCTTCCAATAAGCACAGTACGTGCGTTTCCCATCTTCGAAGAAATTTTGCAGCGAGAATTTTGTCAACGACAGTCCTAGTGTGTTGAAAACAGCACACTCGCAAGGTGCCTTCCGTGGCTAGCTTGTAGCGGGGTCCGGGAGGTGGTGCCGGATTCCCAGCTGAGCTGCTGCTTTCGAAACCGCCGCGGTCCACGCAGCATTCTGGACTTGAACCCTAAAAAAAATATGAAGTGAGCATGGAACTTTGAGTACTTATCACAAATAATAGTAGTTTTCTAATTAAGAAAAAAAAAGACAGGTTATCAATTCCATTATATTTCATTTTTTAATTTATGTAACATGACATCTTTAAGTCTGCAAGTCTCATATTAATTAGAATCGTCAACAATTAACGTTACCTATAATTTTTTCTCTAAGAGAACTTCTTATACAGCCTGAGCTGCAATGTTGTATTATAGTGATTGGCTGGATTTTTATAATTTTCATGAGAGCAAATTTTTGATTTTAACATTCCAAGAGTTTCCACAGTTTTCATACAAGAACAATACTGACTAATTATATGTCGTATTATTTTTACCCTTATAATAGATGAATTTAATAAAAAATTACTTCTAAATATTCTGCTGTAATAGTCGTAAGGCATTTAGCGAGTGCGCAATAGTAGGGATTATAATATAGGAATAGAAGACGGAAACGAAGAAGACGAAAGTTATATAAACTTTACAATGTAAGATCATATAATCTTTCCGATAAAATTAGAGAATATGCCTACAATTATTATTAAGTACTTAAAAGAGTGTGTTGCACAGTTAAATCTTTGCAATAAAATTAAGACGGCTAAAATACAATTAAAATGACGTGGAGTATTATTAACAGTGAAACCGGCAAAGACAAACCTCGTAACTTACGCTACCAATTAAAAATAAACAATAAACTGAATGAACCAAAAAAGGATGTCGCAGCGGTTTTTAAGAAATATATATTTTTTTTTTACTTATGATAAGCCAGTGCTTGACCACAATCCCACCTGGTGGTAAGTGGTGACGCAGCCTTAAATGGTGAATCGCACTGTCTTAGCGTAACAAAAGCCTATTCACTCTTGCCTTGAAGACGCCCAGATTGTATTCGGACGGAAAGATAGACGCCGGCAAATTATTCCACTCCTTTACTGTACGCATTACAAAAGACGAAGCAAACCGTTTGGTTATAATGCGTGGAATATCGACAACAAAGGGATGAAGACCCGCCGACCAATATTTCAATGATATTCCTATCTAGAGTATAGCAGCCTTGAATATTTCTTTAACTGTTGCTGATTCTGCTCATGCAGAATGTTAATATCTGTGTAACAGAATTTGGATAAAAATTTAATTAAGAAAACGCTATCAATGGTAAGAGTTCCTCCGGATCAGTAGTACAAATCAGTGTTCCTCAGGGTTGAGTTACCTTATCTTGTAGAGTAAAATCACGATATAAAATTATTTGATTAATTTTCAAACATAAACGGCAATCAAATAATTATGATGATGTAAATAACGAAGAAGACGTAAGAAACGACGCACTATCGAAGTTAGTACATTGTTTTAACGCCAACAATTTGCTTTTAAACGGTATTAAAAGCGGCTGCTCAAAGTGGGTCGTATGGTCACGTTATGGATAACTAGTCAGTTCATATTTGTTTTAATACAAAACTATTTTACTATAATTTAAAATAAAATATTCTCTTCATATTTACCAACAATACCTTTAATAGAAATTTTACTATGCAAAATACTATTTTCAGGATAAGTTAAATCATTGATATACCAATTTTTTTTTATAGGATAAGGGGAACAAACGGACACACAGTCCACCTGATGGTAAGTGGTTGCTGCGGCCCATAGACATCTACATCTATCCTCTGTTACAAATCAAAATGTAGATGCGTTGTCACCCGTGAGGACTAAGATGGAATGCCTCATTTCCAGTAAAAAGGGCCTCCGGCCACCTGCACTCACCAAGCGAAACGCAGAGGTAAACTTCTACTTCACGCTGGTTTTCTGTGAGGTCGTGGTACTACCCCGGTTCGAGCCGGCCCATTCGTGCGACAGCAAAAGCTGCCGCGTGGCTCTACCACTGTTAAAGCTACATATATATACCAATATAACGATTTAACATATTCTAAAGATAATTTATATGTATGTGAGTACTTCACTATAGATGTCCTACGTCGATTTGTAACACTATTCTAATAAGTTGTTCGGAATTACTATTGAATGAGGGAAGACGAGGAGAAACATGAGGAGTTCTACGTTCTTGCAAAAGATACGATACAGTAAACTATACTGCTCAGTACAGGACTTTGAGTATTTCTTATTTACCATTTTCAAAATTTGAATAATTTCGCCACCCGCCACTGAGAAATTCTGCACATTCATTTAATTCACGTGCGCAGCTAAGTAATTTGATCATTGTCAACATGTCACTGTCACTAAACCGAAATAGTCAACCGGACGAAAATGGAACATGTAGGTAATAGGTAGCATAATATAATGGCGTATATATCTATAGTTGTGGCTTTGTTTCACCTTACAAAATAACAGATGAGTAATAGAAATCAAACGCCTGTTATTTTGAGTATTATTTAGATATATCTGGCTTGTTAATTATTAATTTCACTATCGCTATCACTACAGCCCATCACAAGTACACTGCTGTACATCGAGTACATATGTATTTCGTCAGGTCGGTACTCCATCCAGTGGGAGGTCATCCAATACTGCGCTTTCCAGTACGAGGCTGCCACTCGAGAAACTTTCTTCGCAATTGTTTGTCGAAGATCGAAGATGTAATAGACAGTTTGTCGATGACGTATAGACAGCATTGTGGATTTGTTTCACCTTAAAAAATAATGGAAGATTGAGGCGCTGCTCAAACGTAGACACTTTTGTGTCCTGTGTGGGATACAATACAATATCCCATATATATACGGGAGATTATTTTATTTTACTGCCTGCGCAGATGCGGACACAGGGCGAAGTCGCGGGGAACGGCTAGTTTCTGATATAATATTAGATAAAAAGGACAGAAGTTAAGATATACATATTATGTATCCACTCCTTCAAAGCAATTATAGCAATTGAATTGTTGCTATATGTATGGTATTATATATGGTTGGTATTTTATATGGTATGCTATATATATGGTTTTCTAATCAATATTATTTATTTATTTATTCTTTTTATATTTTAATACCTACATATAAAACAAATATCTAGACGAAGCATAATATAAAACTAATTGACTTGAATTTTGTATCAGTCGGTTTCAAATATGTGTAAAGGGAAACAAAGTGAACAGAATATGTTTTGTCATCGATATAATGAAATAAAATTATATTTGTCGTACTATTACTATAGTATAAAGTATATATATTATATAGTACGAAAAAATTTATAAGTAATTTTTTAACGAAACAGAATTAGTTAACACCTTCCATCTTCAATTCATATATATGGGTCTTATATAATACAAGCTTTTACCTCCGACGCCACTCGCGTTTAAATAAAACCCAACGCATTTTTTACAAATGAAAAAATTTAAGTAAAAGTTATATGACGTTCTACTGCAATACACTTCTATAGACTAAATATAGTCTATATAAGTGTATTTATATTTATATTATAAAAGATTTTGGGCCCTAGAAACACGTGAGCTAGATACGTAGAGCTGATCATGGGAAAAATACGCCCTACCCAAATGTAATCCCATACTTTTAAATTATTGAAAATATTTCCTTAGAGGAAATTGTAATTGTTTTATAATTAAAGTACACCAGTTGACACTACTTGCAGATTCTTTTGTAATATAAGACAATCTCCTATATATATATATCTCTTTAAATCATCGGCGTACAGCAAAAAAGAGCACCATCTTATCTAGTGTATTATGTAGTGGCGGCGTAAGAAAATCCACTTGTAATTTCATCCCTAGAGTGTATTAAGAGGCGACAGGTGGAAGTTGATACGAGAGATGAACACCAGCATCTTTCTGATAACAGCTCGAAATAATAATAATTATTATTATTTATACTTTATTGTACACCACAAAAAAAAACGATAAAAAAGAACAAATTACAAGGAGTAAAACTTAAGAGGTAGGTACAATAAGGCGGTCTTATCGCTAATAAGCGATCTCTTCCAGACAACCTTAAGATTAGGAGAAAGTTGTTCTATTGGACAGTGGGAGGTGGTGTATATTATAGTAAACTTACATACTAATACCTAAATAAACTAAACTGATACATAATGAAAAAAAAATACACTAATATATACATTCAAAATATAATAGACATACATAAGATTAAGTAGGCAAATATACATAAAAATTAAATAAAAAATACAGAGAGGATACAAAAAATACATGTCGCAAATGATGACCAGTAGTTAATGCACTGTTAGGTAGTAATTTTTGACGTCAGTCTTAAACTTTTCTAGTGTTTTCGCACGACGAATTTGCGAAGGAAGATCATTCCATAAGCAGATGGACTTAACTGTGAAGGAGTTTTTAAAGTATTTAGTTCGATATGAATGTGGTGCGAGTATAAGTTCTCCGGCTGACCGTAGAACTCTGTCCGGTCTGTCGTGACCAAGAAACTTAAAGTTTTCCTTCAGATAGCTAGGAGTCATTGGATCGAATAATACACAGTACAGAAGAGAAACAATTTGTAGGTTCCGGCGAAGGCGAATGGGTAACCACTTGAGCTTTAAACGGAATTCGGAGACATGGTCATATTTGCGCAAGCCAAATATGAACCTAATAGCCAGATTTTGAATACGGTCAAGTTTGTTTAGTTGATCTTCAGTTACATCAAGATAGCTTGCGCCCGCATAATCGAGAATAGAGAGGAGTAAAGATTGTGCTAACATAATTTTAGTAGGAATGGGAAGGAAAGAACGTAAATGCCGCAATAAACCCATAGTAGCAAAAGTCTTTCTGCTAACTTCTTTCAATTGATGAGACCACGAGAAAGTAGTATCGAAGTGGATATCAAGATTTTTAACGGTGCTACTGTAAGGTATTACAACACCATTCAATACCACCGAGGGAAAGTTATTCCAGTCAACTCTTGAAATCATCCCAGCACCACCAACAATAATGGCCTGCGACTTACAAGGATTAACCTTAATCCCATAGTATTTACTCCATTCGCTAATAGCCGCCAGGTCAGCATTG